AGGAAAGAAGAAATGATCATAGCCTTCAAGAACCAATGTCCCACATAGAAAACAGAAAGAGCAGCCGGTTCAGCCAGCTCATCGAGCTAGAAGACGAAAACCCGAGACATCATCTCACGCGCTCAAACACCACGAAACTCGAGGCAAGCCAGCGCCAGCTGGCACAGGTCAATACGAGAGCCTCGTGCAGGCAAGAAAAGACGGACGAGCTAATTATAATTAACTCGCCGTATTCCCAGCCGAGACGATCCTTTTGCCAAGTAAAGGAAAAAAAAACATCGCTCGATGGAGAAAACCGATCCCTCCCGAATTCTCCAGGTTTCCCAACGTACATGGCCCCCACAGAATCCGCAAGGGCCAGGTGTCGCTCTCACAGCACGCCTAAGCAACGGCTGAGATTGTGTGAGACTTACTCGGGCGAGATCTCCCCGTACAAGCTCGGGCTCTCTTCTTGGAGACTCGTTTAAACGCGATTTTTTTAAAGTAATTTTTTATTTTTATTTTTTTTTACTGAGCCTAAGAACATTGAACCTTTCTTTCTTGCTTTCTTGCTTTCTTGTTCATTTTCCTTGTTTTTTTTTCCTAAGAAAAAAAAATTCTTCACCTTTGGCATATTCCTCTGTTCTGGTTCAATTTGAATATCATTACAATGTGATGATAAATATTGTTACATTTATATGAATTTTACTATCTCCTCAACATTTACCTGCACAAACGCATAATCATAAATTTAACTTTTTTTATTTCAAATCAGACATTATTCATTCATTCAAACACAACAGGATACTTGAGCTGTCTCTTATCATTAAAAATCCCCCAATGCTTATCATATTCATACCCGGGCTCCCTTAAATCCTCGTCAAATAACCCGACCACGTAAGTCTCGACGGGCCTATCGGGCTTAAACGGACTCCCTCCCTTCACATGCCGAATCAAATTACCGTTATAAATCCTCGCGTTTTTCAATTGGGCCTCGAGCCCACCTCGAGTGGGCCAGCCCGTTTCAGATACCACAATCTCCACATTACTCACACCGTACTTCTCGACCGAATAATACATAGCGTCCACAAGAACATCGAACAAGTTGTCATAATCGTGAAACGCGTCTTTTATCACGGCTCGTTTGGAAGTGAAAAGCGCATAATCGAGGCTCGTGTTTTTCGGGTTTTTCACGTATGGTAAGTACACGTGCAAGTTGGCTAGCAAAGGGTAGCCGTATTTTCCGAGAAAGTCGAGGATCGGGTGAATGTGGGCCCGGACCTCCCGAGCGAAAACCGACCCGGAAGGGGTTCGGAAAGGGATGAGGAGATCCGGGCTTATGGCAGTCGAGACGTTGACTTTTGCTTTGACTTTTTTCGAAAAACGAGCTACGGTGAGCGCGTTCTCCAGGCTCTGCATGGCGGGGACCACGTGAGGCCCGTATTTTTCGGTGGCTTTGTCTAATGGGCTGATATTATTTCCAACTGCTATGTACCTGATAGAATTTGAGTGTCTAAAAACCGAGCCCTTTTCACAAAATTGCTAAAGTTGAAGGACTAAATAGTTTATTTATTTTTTTTTTGTTCATGCTTACTTACCGGAAATTGACATCGTTAAAGCTGACGATGTTTTTTTCGACCCACAATTGCGCGAAGGACCAGTTTGAGGCGATTGTGGGAATATCTTTGTTCGGAACTCCAAGAATGAGTGATATATTGCTGCCCTTTAGTGCTTCTTGGATTTCGTGGTTTGGCTCGTAAATTCGCATTCGTTTGATGTTGTGTTTGTTGCAAAGCGCGACTATTTCTTTCGCGTGTGGTAGCTTTCGAGTTTTAGTTCCGAAAACGACTCCTACTTGAGCATCTGCACATGTTCAGAAATGAAACCTTAGTCGTAAGTAAATCAGTTCTCATCACTGAGTGCAAAAGTTTCATGTGAAGAGATGTTGATGAATCATGTTTTTAATATAGAAAGAAACCTGTAGGGTCAATGCAAAGAAGTAACAGAGCAATTAGCTTCATAAGTACAGCAGATGATAAACTTGAATTGGCCATTTTTTTTTTTTTTTTTNTTAACTTGTGACCATCTTGTTTCCAGGGTAATATAAATCTAGATTATGAGTCATTAATGGAAAATTTTCATTATTATTAATTTCCATTTTTTCCTTTATGCTCCCCTGTTTTGACAATTTAACTTGTGGTCCAAATTTCTGTAGTCAAATTAAATTAAATTATGCCATTCGCAATTATTGGTATGGGGATTGAGATTTTTTCTGTGGGTCTAAAGCTGCAAGTATTCATTGAAGTCCATTTGATATTTTTTCTTCATGCAAACGTGACACATTGCTAATCAACTCAATTAATTGGACTTTCCCAAATGCAAAGCAAACTTACAAAATTGCGAAATGTCATATTTTTATTAGATAGCCACACTTTCTAATGTGAAATGTCATATTTTTATTTATATGGTATATGAAGTAAAATTCAGATTTTTTATTTTTTTAACTTTTCTTTTTCTAAATATAAATAGAATTCTCAGTCTTATACAACACACAAAATCCTATTTGACATTACACAATCTCATTCAAACTAAAATGGCCTCAACACAACAATTCCACAAAGGGCAAAGAAAAGAGCCTCAGTCTATTTACATAAACCGTTTGAGTCAACAACTTTCTTATTAGCCCATTTGCCTCTCAAACAAATGACACCTTAAAGTTTTCACAATGTCGTCTAGAGCTTTATCGTTTAGCGCCAGATACCTTAAAACTTCCTCTCGACTGTGCATGATTTTCCCTTTTATAGAATATCTTTCTCCATCTTTCACTATAACCCCATGCTCGCAGGCCAAATCCAATGCCTCTGATGCCCGAGCAATTCCTTTTCCGAATCGTATACATAATTCTGCTTTCTCCATTGGAGGAGCTAACTTGTTTTTCACAACTTGCACACAAATCCCGAGTCCCGTGGCCTGCCAGCATATACTAATTATCATCATATCTTCATATGCAGAAAAAGGAAAACGAGAAAATTTGATATTCTTGCATTTTAGTTTTCATTTATTTTTCCCCCATGCAAAATCAATGATTTGCAGATATATTAAAGTTTCAAAGATTGAAGCTATGTTTGGTAACAAAATAAGATGCTTATTTGGTTAGCTTATAAGCTTCTTGTATTCAAATAACCTCCATTTGGTTGGAAGAGTTTTTTTTTAAAAAAACTTATCTCACAAGCTTTTTAGGTAGCTTTTCAAATAAGCTTGTTGAAATTTTTATTTCAGCTAATTTTACCTAACACTTTTATATTATAAGCTAGCTTTTCAGCTATAAGTCATAAGCTATAAACTCGAAAATTACTTATAAACTATAAGTTAGCTTATCAGCTATCAACTAGTTTTAACAAACATAGCCTGAATATATAGTTATCGTAGAGAAGAAATACAATTTAATATAATTTTTTATAACAATAATAGAAATATAGATACGTGAAATATGAAATAAATATGTCACACTCATTAGGCTTGCCTTATCATCTGCTGCCTTTATCAGTTCCTTCCTGCTAATTCGCAGCCGTATAGCAGCGTAAAATTTCAAGGCATTTCCTCCACACGTGACTTCTTCCGCATGAACAGATCCTTCAACCACTTTCAACTTTTTTCTCACCTAAAAGTGCTAAAGAAAAATTGATTAAAATTTGCATAAAATGCGGATATGCAAGAAAAATTGAAGTTTTATAGCCATTGCTGACCTGGTTGATGAAAATAATGAGAGTATCAGAATTGCATAGAGAATAATGTATTTTCCGTAGGGCTTGTGTCATTATTTTCGATTGCAAGTCTCTATAAGAGCCATATTCCAATGTGTCGGCTTCACATTGGGGAACAAGTGCGGCTACCTGCAAAGCATTGCAATAAAAGTGAAAAGGAGAAAAGAAATAAAAAGGAAAAAAAAAAATGATAAACTTCGAAGATTAAGCTATTAAGTTAGAAAAAACAACAGAAGTATCATTTTTTTATGAATGTTAAATGCAAATGTATTCACATATTCAGCCGATAAGTAGGTAAGGCTGCAGATACGTACACTGTCAACAACAATTACAGAAATCGATCCACTTTTTGTCAATGTATCTACCACACTAAGTAAGTTTTCAGCAGAATCTGGCTGTGAAATAAGGAGATTGTCCGTGTTGACACCTATTGCTTCAGCAAGGGAAGGGCACATTGCATTCTCCACATCAAGATAGGCACAGTACCCTAATTCAGAAAGTTAGTTGAAAAATGAGTAATAACTAGGATAAGTGAGAGGCACAAAGAAGTAATGGAAGCACATGACAAGTTGATGAAATAACTAGGATAAGTGAGAGGCTGAAAGCCAGAATAAAAGTGAAATCCTTTTAAAAATCATAAATTACAATTCCTCTTAACCCTTTTTCTTATTTTCCTTTTCCATAACCCAGTTGAATTCACCTTTTCAAGTTCATCATATTCTAGAATCACAAATTTTGCTTTTCAAATTTATGTACAGTAAGGATTTGTTTTTTCTTTTTTTTTTTTTCTGGATGAGCTGCATTGACATTTAAACATTATAAGGACTGCACAAGCCAGAACACAGCCAAAATCAAAATGAGGAGCAAAATTAATAGAAAACCACTACCAAAAATAATTCAGGCTATTGTAGAAACAATTTATGCATGATATGTTAACGGTCATGTGTGAAGTGGTGGGTACCTCTTTAATATGTGCTATTTAAACAAATGGATTTACATTTCTCTTTTTGCACTGCCAGCATAATTTCCAAAGCTAATACAAGTTTTAGATTTCAAGTGTTCCATTACATTTAAACCAATCAGGGAAAAACAAAAAGAAAAAAGAAAGAGAAAGTTGCGATGAAGGTAAATGACCACCTCCAAGTTTTTGAGCCTCCCTAATAACATGAAGTGCCAATGTTGTCTTCCCGGATGCTTCCTGACCATAAATTTCAACCATCCTTCCCTGATGAAATCAATAAGATCTATAAGAGCCACTTATATTTCCCGACAATATAGTGATATCCAGAGTAAATAATTTAAATATCTATAAGTGATCATAAACGACAACACAGCCAAACGAGCATCATTTAAATCAAAAGGAGAAAATAACATGCACCCACATCCACATACATATCTTCAATCCTAAAATCAACTCAACCAAACACTATCAAAGTGCATATCCAATTTAATAAGCAAGAACAAAACCTTTGGCAATCCACCAACACCAAGGGCCTGATCCAGCCTCAACGAGCCCGTCGGTACTACGGAGGCCCGTCTGGCACCAAAGAATCGCTGCAAAGAAAGCATCGATTCTTTACCAAATTCACCTGAAAGCTTCGACAGAGCCATACGCAGTGCGGCATCTTTCGCTGTCACCTTTGTGTCATCCGGAATATGATCGTCAAACGCATATTCTGAGATTTCAGCTGGCACAAGAAACAAAGCCAAGAGAACAGTAGCAGAAAGTTAAATTGGAACAAACTATTACAAAGAAAACTACCCAAAACTAACACAACACACAATAGGCATTGGAAACAGCAAAAAAAAAAAAGATCAATAAAAATGCAATCTTTACCAGTCGGTGAAGCATAAGTGCACTGAGTCCTTCTACACGCACATAAATTCTGACAAATAAATACTAAGCTCGTAAATACTTTTAATAGGGATGCTGAAATTACTTGCATAAACATCATATTTGAATGGTAATATGGCATGAAATAAGGTTCAACATGAAGATACACCGCTGCGCGTACAACATACCTTCGATGGTGAAGAGACAACAGACAAGACGCGAAAGGTTGAGAAGAAGCTTAATCGAGAAAATCTCACTAATTTAGACACAGACGTAATCATTTACTCTGTACTTTAACCGAATGTTGCCCAGCTGCCAAGAATTAGGGTTTTTGTTCTAGCTGGTGTGGCGCCAATTTTGCGAAGAAATAGAGAAGAGAACTGATGTCGTGGTACTCGGCGATTATTTGAAAAACACAATTCTAGAGTCCATAAATTGAGAAGTTGTGCTACTAAATGGGCCAGCGGCCAAATTATGGGCCGCACTCCTTTCTGCCAAACATGTAGAATGGGCTGATTAATTGCCTATTTGCCTGTACCAAATTACACACCGGTTTTGTTTCCTACCTTCTTTTTTTTTTTTTTTTTTTTTTTTTTTTTTTTTTTTT